CTCCTCTCTTCTATGCATGTGCACCTGGAAGGGTAAATCTAATAGGTAATTAAATATAGATATTTAGAAACTTACGATACAAAAAGCCTGTGAAGGATTTTTATTCACTGAATTGAATGACTGTAAACTAGTGATAGTTAATGAGGCATCTTGAAGCGTTTCCACACATTGTCAAACTGCATTGATTCTGTATCACACAATACTGACACCTGCTGGACATTTAAAGACACTACAGGCGGGCTTATTTGACAGACTGAACTGAATCGATTTGATGACCTAATACAATGATATCATTGAAGTTATTGTAGGTTATATTGTATTATTTCATATCTATCTTTGATATTTTAAGATACAGCCAATAAATAATGTGAACATTCAATTCAGTTTATTTCTATAGCACCAATTCACTACACACATCATCTCAAGGCACTTTACAGTTCACCAGATGATACAGTAAAATTGATTCAGTTTTCTATCTAAGGAAAACCAGTAGATTGGATTGACTCGAAGGCAATCCCTCACACTAAGCATGCTTGTAGCGACAGTGGAGAGGAAAAACTATCTTTGAACAGGAAGAAACCTCCAGCGGAACCAGGCTCAGTGTGAAGGACCATCTGCTGAGGCCGACTGGGGTTCAAGGAGACAGAAGCAGACATAGAAAAAGAAGAGAAAGGACATATAACATGAAAATTTAGGGGGAAATGTGAATGAGGATGCTTGTGGATTTTTAAATCATAATTTAAAAACAATAAGCAAAGTATAAAACAGTAGATAAACTAAAAGTCAATTTGAAATTAACTGTAATTCAGATAAGTTGAGTGATAACTGAGAGGAACAGGATGACACAACAAGAATTTTTTTTTTTTTTTTAGCAGATGCATCATGTTGACAGAAACGTTTTTCAACACAGTTTAGTGAGTCAATCAGTTAGAAACAACTCCTGTATCGGTCACATGACTTTCTTGAAACCACACACTCACCGATACAGTGTTTTGCTCTACGGGCTCCACGCATCGGCATTGCTGGACCCATCAGTACTGTAAACTGACCAAACCACATTAAATAGTTTAGCTTCTTAAGTTGGTAAATGTCTCTTTTTAGTGCCTCATAATGGATTTAATTCTCTCAATATCATCTTACTTTTTTTTAATGTAAAAATCTCAAACTTTAGTACAATGCTCTAGATTGTCTGAAAAACAAAAATCAGAATTGTTAAGTCGAAGGACAATGATAAATATTAGACTATTGTTAGGTTTATTCAATGATGATTATAAAATTAATGTGAGCTTATGAAACATTTGTGCAAGCGGATGCTCCACTCCTGTCTCATGATTCAGTCAGGAGACCATCCTGCCTTGTCATTCTGATGGAGCATCTTGTCTTTATGAACTGATCAGTTGTTCTGTCAGAACAATACTCTGTTTGTAACCATGTGTCATGTTCTGTTAATAAAAGATGGCTGCAGGGGGGGGATTCGGAGAAGGAAAGCTTGAAGTTGGGTTGGACGTTTCCTTCCGCTCCTGCAGAAGCTGCTTGAATCTCTTTCCTGTGTACACTCAATTTCTATTTATTTGCAAACCTACATTTTCTGAATCTAACAACTATATGGAGCTTTAAAGCTTTTCTCTGTAGCTCTGACCGTTTGCTTTGGTGTCCAGCGTAAAAGGAAACCCTCATTACATTCTAGGGTCTCTTGCAGCCCTCAGAACTTTTGGATTTGAATCAGTACTTTTAAAGACATAACATCACAATTATTCAGTTTAATTAACTCCATAAATGTGTTATGTTGTATTATCCTCACTGAACAGGGGAGCACATCGACTACTGCGGTTATTCAGTCCTGCCAATGGCTATTGAGCAGAGCATCCTGGCAGCCGTGTCGGTGAACAACTCCGGGATGATCCAGCTGGCAAACACTAATGCTCAGTACCAGTAGGATACCTATAAATTCTACACTTCTATTTAATCTAAAATACTATAATGTTTATAAAGACAGCTGCTGTTTTATTATAAGGATTTATTGTCTGATAATTGCAGGGATTTCAAAGTGTCATGCTCAGAAGAGATCATCATAGACAGAGAAAATCCAAAGTGGTATTTTTATTTTCTCTGCGGTGTTAAAGGTATCCAGGTAAGCTGTGTCAGCGAAGGTCATGTCTGAAATAAATAAAGCTTTAAGTGTATATGTGTATGTACTGGGGAAATGATTGGTATCGTAGAGTATTATATGTTGACGTGTTTGTCTTGTTTTGTTTTTTTTTACCAGGAGAAGTTTGGGATCACTCGTTTAGCTGGGATGTCCTGTGTTGTGGATGGAACCATTCCTCCCAGTTCCGGTCTCTCCAGTTCAAGCGCCTTAGTTTGTTGTTCAGGCCTCTTGACTATGGAGGCGAACCAAAAGTCTCTTTCTAAGGTAAAAATAATCCAACTGTTTTCAATTCAATTCTGTTTATTTCTATAGCGCCAATTTACAACACGTCGTCTCAAGGACCTTTATCATTCAACCAGATCATCCAGTCAGATTCATTCAAAGTTTTCTATCAAAGGAAAACCAGCTGATTGCATCGAC